ACGGTTTGTAGTATGCGCTTCGTGGACGGATGGCGCGCCAGCAGTGCGGCAACCTCGCCGACCGAGGCGCAAATGCCGACAGCGAGCGATTGTCGGACGCATCGAATTGCGCATCGCAAAATTCGGGCGAGGTTTCCGAACATTAGGAACGACTTCCCCACCAATCTCGATAATCTTTCGCTGGTGTCTCGTCCCGCGTTACGCACTGTTCGATAACATGCAGACGACGTTCTCAGGGATGATAGTGCGAACTACAACGTAGCGGTTGTCGATCAGGATGCCGAATGACCTCAGCAAGAATGGCGCTTCTGGTGATTTCGGTTGTTGTCAGTATAATTGCTTTACCATGTTTTTTATCCGCCGTTCCGAGCAGGATAGGATGCACTTGTAGATTACACCGAATCGTCACAACAGACGTGAAATCGATATTTCTTAAACTCAATGACCCTAACAATTCAATGGATTGGTTGAAGAAGCGAAAGGTCCCTAAGTGGCCTATAGAAATTGACGCAGTACCTACCTACCGCGAGGGCAACACACACTACCCAGGGGCACCGCGGTCCTCGTTCTCGACACAGAGGACATAGTCGTAGTCCGGATTCCTGCAGTCGCACGGTGATCGTTCCCAATTCAATTGCCCCCGCCGGTACACGATCCTGCCACCACCAGTTCCCAATGATACCTTGCCGAAACTTCATGTGCGGACTGATTCGCATCCTTCACATCGGCGTAAATACACTTGCCGTTAAACATACGGATTGCATCCTCGCGGTTAGGATACCCCATCCAGAGCCAGTGCGACGGGTCACAGACAACCCAGCGAATCTGACGATCGCATCGAGGATACGTTGCCCCACATTTCCGGATTACAAGCGATGTTTGCCCATGCGTACGGCGCAATCAGCGCAACTGCACGCCTTTCTCTTCGAGCGAAGCGGACGACAGAGTCCACATCTCTTTAAATCGCCCGACGGTCAACTGACCTGTCAGCGGGATTGCCCGGTTCTGAAGAGAACTGCCTCGTAAAAGTGCCAACTCACGGGACTGCCAGCATAGGTCACCACCACAGGGCACCAAGGATGTGTGTCGCTTCGATTGCTTGCTCAATGCGTCGCGAGCGTTTTCCCGTTTTCCCGGTCATCATCAGCAGTTACTATGTCGCTGTTTTGGCAGCGAGTATAGATGCGTGGGCATCCCTAATTTCCTTGACCGCTTCACCGCCAGAATGTATAATGTCACTCGGTTCGACAACGCCAGTGGCGTTCGGACGGATGCATCAAATCCGTGGCTTTTGCCCACGCTGCGCATTCCGCGAGGCTCCAACCACCGTTCCCCGCGCTCGTGCTGAAACTTAAAATCCATAGTCCTTTTTTTGTTAGAGGACTTTCTACGTATGCAGATTCTATGTGAACAGATATTACCGAAAAACTATTTACGCTCTATAATCAACTTCTCGCGCAACACGGAAACCGGAAGTGGTGGCCCGCAGACACACCGTTTGAAGTGGCTCTCGTGCGATCCTAACGCAAGCGACTTCGTGGCGCAACGTCGAAAAAGCGATGACAATCTCAAAAATGCTGATGCTTTTACTGCTGAGGAGATAGTTCTATCATTTCAACCACTTTGGAACGGCTCCATCCGACCGTCGCGCTACTTCCGTATGAAGCGCAAAAGGTACGTGCATTTGTGGAACATATCGCAGAACGTCCGATGCACGTTATGTTTACGCAGGATGTCCCCGAATTGCGTTAAGACTGCTCTCCATCTACGGGGTCGGTCCTGAGACAGCGATACGATTATCCTCTATGCTGCGCAAACCCGAGTTTTGTTGTTGATTCATGATACCTATAGACTCTTCTCACTCTCACGGCTCGGATGGGTTACAGGAAATTACAAACTATGACAAACTCCGTGCCCTGTTTATGGACAATCTTCCCCACGATGTTGATCTTTCAATGAGTATCATGCGTTAATCGTTGACACGGTGCGAGAGTATGTCATAAGAAACGCCGAACTGTCAAGAGTGCCGTTTGCGGGGGGTCTTGTGCCTATTACAAAGCGTCTGAGTGACAGGAAGTGATGTGCTGCGAATCGGCGTGCTGCTAAAGTTTTTTCAAAAAATCTGTCTCTTGTCAGAATCGGAATCTCTAATTCTTCTGCTTTGGTGTATTTGCTGCCGGCACCTTCCCCCGCGATGACGTAATCCGTCTTGCTCGTTACGCTTGATGTAACCCTGCCACCCCCGATTCTTAATCTCGTTCGACGCTTCGCCACGCGTCATACCCTCAAGACTCCCCTGTGACAACGAACGTTTTTTCCGCTAAGAAGTTATCTGCCGCGATGCTCGCTTTCCTAAGGTTAGATTCTGCCGCTACCGTGAAACAGTGCAAGCCTGCCGCCCGTAGTTTGTCAAGCAACGGCTGATTGTGTGAGAAGAAGTTGAAAACGCTTCTGCTATCTGCGGACCGATGCCTCTTACTGACTCAATCTCCTCCAATGTTGCTGTGCCGAGTGCGTCTAAGGATAGGAACCGTTCAGATCAGCAGCTCCGCGACATTCTCACCGACATGAAAAATACCGAGTCCAAAAGCAGTTTTTCTGCCGGTACTTCCTTGCTTTTTTCAATTTGGTGGACAAGATTGCGGGCGGACGGGACACCCATCCGATCCATGTGACTTAATTTTTCCACCTCCAGAGTGTAAAGATCGGCAACATCGCGAACCAGTTCTTTATCCACCAGTTGGTCGATTGTAGCGGGGCCGAAACCTTCGATTTGGAGTGCGTTGCGCGAGCGTAATGTGCAATTCTGCGTTTCAGTTGTGCGACACACGCCACATTCACACACCGGACCGCAACCTCTTTCTCTGTACGTTTGACAGGAAAACCACATGCTGGACACCGCTCCGGAAATATGAAGGGAACTTCATCGCCAGTGCGGTCGGTTGTTAACACCTCAACAACTTTAGGGATAACATCCCCCGCGCGCTCAAGCACAATCCGATCGCCGATACGGATGTCTTTCGTTTGGATTTCTTGCTCGTTGTGCAAAGTGGCGTTCGTGATTGTCGCTCCGGCGAGCGTTACAGGTTTTAAAATCGCAACCGGTGTCAAGACACCCGTGCGCCCAACTTGTACGTCTATTTTTTCAACGGTTGTGATGGTTTGCTGCGCGTTGAACTTGTAGGCAACTGCCCAACGCGGGTATTTAGAGGTTGTACTCAGTTCGTGCTGTTGGGAAAAATTGTTAACCTTTACGACGATCCCATCGGTATCGTACGGGAGTTCATGGCGTTCTTCTACCCAGCGTTCGTAGTAGCTTTGGACCGCTTCAATCGACTTATGGGAGGTGGTGTGTGGATTACACTTGAGTCCCCAAGCCTTCATGGTTTCGAGGGACTCTGTATGCGTTGTGAATTCAGATCCCTCGGCGTAGTTGAGGTATATACGAAAATATCCAACGGACGGGATGCCGTTATGGAAGCGTCTAACAGTCGTAGTGAGCCCAGCGGCGGCGTTCCGAGGGTTCGCAAACGGCAATTCGCCTTCTGCTTCCCGTTGATGTTAATGTGTCGTTGAGGCAATCTTCGGAAGGAAAACTTCACCGCGGACTTCTAATACCGGTGGCACGGCTATTTCCGTTTCAACAAGCCGCAATGGCGCAGAACGGATGGTACGTAAGTTGTCGGTTACATCTTCGCCGTACTCGCTGTCGCCGCGCGTGAGACCTTGCGTAAATATACCGTTCTCATAGATTAACGAAACCCCTAACCCATCGATCTTTAATTCTGTAACGTATTCGACAGGTGCCTCTTCTAACAACCGTTGGACGCGTTCAGCGAATTCCCGCAGCTCATTTTTCGTCGTAACAGTTATTCAGGCTCAGCATAGAGTTACGGTGCTGTATGCGGGTACCTAATACAGCACCGCCACCAACTCGTTGCGTCGGCGCGAATCTGGCGGGATAGGTGCTTCAGTCGCTGCTTCGAGTTCCGCAAGCTCCTTCATGAGTGCATCGAAATCCACATCAGAAATTTCCGGCAGGTTTTCGATATAGTATTTATGCTCATGATAACGTATTAACGCTCTCAGTGCGTCGATCTCTGTTCGCATAACACCTTATCCGGTTTTTGAAGGGCTTTTGAAAAATTTTAAACAACCTGGACCGGTCGCACATACATCTATTTGCGTCACTGTGTGTGTGCTGATAAATCGCCTGCGATCGTTAATCGTCTCTGACGTGTAAAGGTGCGTGGACGCGTAAACCCTTCGCCTGTCGGTCCCGCTATGGTCATCGCGAGGTAGCCTTCGCCTTCTAATCCGCAGGACGCGTAAGAGGGCGCGTTAATGACCGTAACACTACAATCCATTGCCTTTGCGAACTGCGTGATGCGTTTGGTGTTGTTTGTGTGGAGCACTGCGGTGTGGCCCACGTCCACCTTCTGCTCTGACTGCGCCTGCCAACGCCTTCGTCGAAATCGCGACAACGGACGACGGCAGAATCGGCATCAGGTATTCGTTAATGACGAACCCATGATCCGCTGGAACTTCAACAACGATCGCCACTGTCTCTGCAGGAGCTGTGATACCGGCGGCTTTTAAAATGGTCAGCGCATCTTTAACCGATGTACTCCTTGTTGGATTCCTCTTTTCCGTGACAACCACTTCTAATGCCTGAAGCTGGCTTGCACCGAGTAGATGGCCCCCATTCTGTGTGAGTTCCTGAACCGTTTCGTTTGCTACGGAATCGATAACGAAAAGTGCTTTTTCGCCGATACAGAGCAGATTATTGTCAAAACTCGTGCCCGCAATGACATGTTTCGCTGCTTGCTGAACATCCGCGGTTTCGTCAATAATCGCAGGCGGATTGCCGGGTCCAGCAGCGATTGTCTTTTTACCGCTTGAGAGTGGCAGTCCGGACGACGGATGCGCCACCGGTCGCAACGAGCATAGCGATCTCAGGATGCTCCATGATCTCTTTTGCCGTTCGTAGACTGGCGTTTTCAACCGAGGTGAGCAGGTTGGCGGGACCCCCCTGCCGTGACGATTGCTTCGTTGAGAACGTGCATCGTTGCTTCGGTACAGTCGCGCGCATTTGGGTGCGGACTGAACACGACAGCATTCCCTGCCGATAACATCACAATCGCGTGATTAATCACCGTCGATGTCGGATTGGTGGTGGGCGTAATCGAGTTAATAACGCCGAAAGGGACATATTCGATGAGGAGCGTTCCTGCATCGCCGGATACCGCCTCTGATAGCAGATCTTCGACCCCCGGTGAGAGTGTTGCGGCTCCCTCATTCTTCATCACCTTGTGTGCCGCATTCCCCATATTTGTGTCTTGTACTGCCAAGTCCGCGAGACGTTTCGCGTTAGCGAGCGACACCACTTTGATCGCTTCGATGATCTCGCGTCTTTTTTGCAAACCCAAGTTTGACCAATGCTGCTTGTGCGGTTTTCGCGGCTGCGATAGCCTCTGATGCTGTTGAGAGACCCCTGACTGGGAAGAGCTCCACCGACGGATGCGTAGGCTGCACCGTCCCAGGCGCGTCTTGTTGCAGGTTCTCAAAACTGGGAGACAATCTCTTCAATCTGTTTTTCGTCAATTTGTGCCATTTAAGCCCTCCAGTACCTCATCGCGCAGAACGCGCATAAGGAGCACGTCTAAACCACTGGACAGGACCCGTGGTAATGCTAACATGTCTCTGGTAAAGCGGGTAGGGCAAAGGCGAGAAAGTCATCCCCCGCCCTACAACCTGATTTATTTGCTTGGGACTCTTCGCTTCTTCGAGCCACCGCCGAGAATAGTCTCCACATCTGAATGTGGGCGGGGAGGGCGTGTACCGATACCAATTCACCAACCGCTTTCGCGGCTTCTGCCCAGCATCGTCGCGGCTGCACCGCACCAACATCTCCACGAACCATAACAGTGACAAAACGCCACCAACTTGCTCTTTTCC